CAGGGGGCGGCCTCCGGAGATGCCCCCAGCCCCCACGGTGCCCAGGCTTCCAAGAGGCCCGCCCCAGACCTCCTTCCTGTCCCAGCCTGCGGAGGGACTGGGGTTCCACGGGGGGCAGTGGTCTGCCTGGCTCCTGATTTCTGGGTGTGCACGCCCCTCCCTTCCCCTTGACCCAAGTGTACAGAGGCTCGAAGGAGGCTGGTCCTGGGCAGTAATGCCATGTGAGTCCTCACCCCCTCCCTGGGGGCTCTCAGTGCCAAAGAGCCTGAAGCCAACTGACCTCGGGACTAGGCTCAGAGTCGCCGGGCCCCATGGACCCTGGGGCTACTCCCAGGCGGGTGATAGGAGCCCAGGGACACTGGAATCTCCCCCGGAGGTGGGTGGTGGGCCCTGGGCTTGTGGAGGCAAAGGCCACCCACAGAGTTCGTGGTTAGAAGGCAGCAAAGGACCCTGCTGCTCATCCCTCTCTGCGGTCCCCCACCCCTCCTCAGCCCTCTTCTCCCTCCTCCAGCTGGACGCCTGGCCCTGCCCCAGCTCAGGAAGGGGCTGTTCCCAACCTGGCCGTCCTCCCTTTGCTTCCATGGCACCCAGTTCCCTCTTCTCTTACACGGGGACACAGAGGCTTCCCTTCTCGCATCCTTGTGGGGGAATGCCATGACCTGGGGGCCTTGAGCTGTGACCACCGTCCCCAGGAGAGGACCTGTCTTTTATGTATGCCCTACACATCCTTGGCCTTCCTGGTGCCTCCGTGGGAATGTCAGCTGACTGGGGAGCAGAGTGGGCAGTCCCCCACCTAGGCCCGGGTGTGGCTGGAGCAGGGTGCGAGGGCTTAGATCGAGGCTTCAGACGCAGCAGGAGATGGAGCAAATGGCACCTGGGGAGCGGGGCATGCCAGGAAGGGCTTGGCCAGGTGGGGCTGGGAGCTTCAGGAAGGGGACTTGGGGTGCACGGCAGCTGGCTGTGTAGGCTGGGAAGAGGTAGCTGGCAACAGGAGGAAACAAGAGGTCCCAGGAGGTGTGTTTCGTGGTGGGAGGAGGCAGGGGACACTGGCTCTGAGCCCTTCCTGCACCCAGGGCTCACAGCCATCAAGTGTGAGATGGAGGATCGGGGGACTGGACTAGGGCTGCAGAGCCTAGTGCTGGGGGCATGGATGCCCTGGGTCTTCTATAAATAGCCAGACCTGGTGGGGGCAGGGAGTTTAGCTTGTCTAAAAACAGCCATGTCCAGGCCCAACAACTGGGGCCATGCCAGTCACATGGCCCAGCCCAAATTAGAACATCCAACCCCTACCTCCAGCAGGCCTGTCACCAGGGTGGGGGCCAGCACAGGAGAACCAAGCCCAGGGGTCATCCTGGCTGTGTGCTGCCTTTCTGTGCATTCTCGGGCAAGGGGCTTCCATGAAGCTTCTTGGACAGAAAGGCCCTTGGGGGCACGTAGATTGGCCACACCAGGCTTCTGCAGTCTGGGGGTCATACTTTCCTGTGAAACCATTGTACCCAGTGGCCCAGGACAGGCAGACATGGACACCCACAGCCACTTGCACTCACGAGTCCTTGGGGCCAAGGCATTCCTAGTTCTGCCTTCTTAGCTGATTGTGATTACCCTCCCCTTGAGCAGTGTAGAAACACACGTCTCCAGGAAGGCAGCCCCTCCCCCTCCACCTCTTGTGGCCTCACCTCCTGCAGGGGCTCACAGCAGGATGTGATGACTCTACCCAACACTCAGATTAACTTGAGAGATTGAGGGGTGGGGCAGGGGCAGGAGTTGAGCTTTGTAACTTGGCATAGGCCGGAATGAAAAATGGCATGGCTGCTCCGGCAAACAGCGTGATCGTTTCTTAAAAAGTTAAACATAAACTGAGCCCTGGGCCCCACCCTTCCCCTGCTAGGAGTCTGCCCCAGAGATAGGAAAACAGAGACATGCAGGTGAGCATTCATGGCAGCATCGCTCACAAGGGCCCAAGATGGACCAAACCAAATGTTCATGGCAGATGAGTGGGACACAAAAAGTGATCCAGCCACATGACGGGATGTGACTCGGCCATGAAGTGGATTGGAATTCTGACACATGCTGCCACAGGGACAAGCCCTGATAACATGCCAAGTGAAGGAAGCCAGTCACACAGGAAATATGTAGGATCTATTTACACAAAATGCCCAGAACAGGCAAATCCACAGAGAACACCAACCGGCAGGTGCCAGGGCTGGGAGGGGGTGGGGAATGACTAGTGGGTGTGAAAGGGACCTTTTGGGTGATGGGAATATTCTGAAACGGGATCACAGTGACACTCCCACAAACTTGGGAAATTACTGACAAACAAAAATCGCGGTCTTGCACACTGACAGTGGGCGAGTCTAATGGCAGGAAAGTGACACCTGGGTCACTGCACCCATCTCAAGACCGCTGCTGGGGCCACCCACCACCCTGTGCTAGGAGTTCCTTCCCACACTGCAGGGCTCTAGGAACTGCCCTGGCCTGGGCCCTCAACAGACACTGGCGAGTGAAGGAGTGACATGTACACACAGCAAATGGGACTGTCACATGTCCTCCAGGGAGGGTGGGATTTCCAGCGTCCACTCTGAGCCTGTGGTGATCTGCCTGGGTATGGCCTCACGCAGAGCAGGGGCGCCCCTCGCTGTGGTCAAGGAGCTTGGGGGAGAAGCAGGTCCGCCCCCCAACCGGTGGGTGAGGGGCACAGCTGGACCGCAGGTCTGGGGGGACGAGAGGGGAAGATCACCCCGGGAGGGGGGCTCTGGGTCTCAAGTTTGGCAGGTGGTGCTGGCCAGGGACCGCATTCTCTAGCACCCTTCCTCCGGGCTGCAACCCCCACCACCAGGAAGCATCTGGAGCACATGGGCTCCTCGTGCTCCCATCCCACGGGTTTTCTCAAGGCTGTCATCGGGCTTCTGGGACCACTGTGTGCTGATTTTGGTGACAAGGCCACAGCTCAGCCATTTCTTGAGCATCCACTGTGCTCACCCCACCCACCATGCCCACTGCCATCCACACCACACCGTGACTGTTGCCACTGGCCATGTTCACCCACCCCATCCACATTCACCCATCCCATGCTGTACCAGCCCCACTCATGTTCACACTTACTGTGTTCATCCACCCCACCCATGTTCACCCACCCACCATGTTCACCCACATGTGGTGCCCATCCCCACCCCACCCATGTTCACCCACCCACAGGGTTCACCCACCCCACACCATGCCTGTCCTCAGATACGAAGTGCTGGCCCTCCTCAGGGCTCCACCATCCTGGGAGCGTGAGGGACACTGATGGAGGGTCTACAGAGACCCAGGACTTCAGTCTATATTGAGACAAGAGGTGGGGCTATGCGGTGCGGCCGTGGCACAGACCTCTGCCTCTCAGCATCAGACTCTGGGGGCCTTTTCCATACAGCACCCCTGAGACCCTCACTCACCTACTCCCTGCCACTCGCCCACATCATCACAGCTGCTGGGTGGAAAGATCCCCCAAGCCCTGCCAGTGTCGCCAAGGTCCACCCGACCCGTGTTCCCGTTACCCGTGTCCGCAGCCCTGGAACACAACAGCGTGCCGGGCCAGGTGAGCTCTTTATTGGTCAAGCATCTGGCCACCAGCCTCAGGACGCACACCTGGGGAGGTGGGGTGGGGCTGGGGCAGGCTGCCCCTCACCAGGTGGGCAGTGACCCCACAGACCCTCAGGTGGCTCCTTTTCGGCCCAGGCAGCTGGCCCTGGAGGGTGTTCTGCTGACGGGGTGGCTGGGTCCTGGCTGTGGCAGCAGAGTCAAACCCGTCCCCACCCTCAGAGGCTGAATGTGGGATTAGGGGCCAGACTCCACAGGCAGGGGTAAGGCCCGCCATGGGGTGCTCTCACTTGATCCACACCCAGCTCAGCCACTTCGGGACAGGAGATTTCAATCAACAACCTGCTAAGCTGGGGGAGGCAGAGCTGTGGTGGGAGAGGTGCACAGACTTACGAGAGGTACAGCCGCCCGCCCCACCCTGCTCCTGGCAGGCTGTGAGTGCCACAGTGCATGCGGGTGGGGTCGGCATTCGGAAGCAGGTAGGGAGGCTGGGTGCGTGCAGGTGGACCAGGAGGGCGCCAGGCTGGGCTGGGCACCGGTGCCTGCTGGAGTCCTGGCCACAACGCCCAAGAAGGCTCAAGGAGGGCCCCAGCTGGGTAAGGCACAGAGTTTTGGCTTCCTGGGGCCCAGTCCCAGCCCAGCCCAGCCCGGAAGAACCTCACTTGGCAGCCAGTCCGCGGCCCCTGCTGTGCCAAGGATGCCGAGAACCCCTCACTTGGCTTTGGGCTTGGGTCTGAGGCCTGTGGGAGGAATAGGGAAGGACATCATTAGGAGGGGCCATGCAGGGAGAGTGCCAGGGTGCCTGTTTCTGGGTTCCCTGGTCCCTGCACCACTTATCACCACTGTCCAGTGGGCTATGCCATGTGTCCAGGGCCCACTCTGACCCCAGGCCTTTTCTCTGGAGCAGCAACACTCATGTGGGCCTAAGTTACTGAGATGGCCCCAGTGAACCAGCTTCTGTCCAGGCTGGATCCCGCAAGGCTTGGCTCCCTGAGCATCTCCTCTCCACTGAGATGAGGCATCTGTGTCTCCCCATGTCACAGACCCATGCAGCACCGTCTATACGCATCAATCCCCAACCCACTGCCTGGAACTCCCTCAGTCGATTCACTGCCAAGGGCCCCTGTGCTGGGACTCTGTCCTGTTGAGGGTACTAGGTCCTGCCCAACAGCTCCCATCCCTGGCCAGCCTCTGCAATTGGCCCTGCAGGCCTCCTGCCCCCAACGCCCTCGGAGCTTGCCCATCCCGGGGCACTTGCCTGGCCACTCCCTGGTGTGCTTGCCCCCACCGCCACCCCAGTGCCGGGGTCAGGGGGTGTCCCAGTTCCCCAGTGGGACTGAAACAGGCTCAAGTTTGAGAGTCACTGCTTGAAGAGATGGGGAAGAAAACACGTTGTCAAAAAAAAAAAGAAAAATCACTCAAGGAGGGATTTTAGTGCCATTCCTCAATGCAGGGAACTGGGGGAAAGGCCAAATCCAAGGTAGGAGCAGGGGGTGCAGAAAGTCCCAGTGAGCTGGAACAGGGCTTGTGCCCAAGACAGGAAGTACTCAAAGCACGAAAGATCATCGGTCAGTGGCTCTACCCGATCCCATCAAAAGGCATGACAGGATGGATGCAGTAGATCACTCCTGTAATCCCAGCATTTGGGGAGGCTGAGTTTAAGACCAGCCTGGGCAAAATAGCAAGATCTCTATTAAAACCTCCCAAAACATAGCCAGGCGTGGTAGTGCATGCCTGTAGTTCCAGCTACTTGGAAGGCTGAGGTGGAAGGATTGCCGGAGCCCAGCAGGTCGAGGCTGCGGTGGCCAGGAGCATGCCACTGCACTCCAGCCTGGATGACAGAGCGAGACTCCAACTCAAAACAATTAGGCAGGCATGGTAGTACATGCCTGGAGTCCCAGTTACTTGGGAGGCTGAAGCAGATCACCTGAGCCCAGTAGCTGGAGACTAGAGAGCCGGAAGACTCCAAATCAAAAAAAAAAAGAAAAGACATGGCAGTGATGGATTGCTACACATTCAAAATTTACACAATTTAAAAAGGGGAAGCTCGTGGGACACAGAGCAGCGCCCTACAGACTGGCTGTCATCGCAGGAGTGGGGAGGGGATGGGCAGGGTTAGAGCTTTGGTCCTGGTGCTCACCACAGGCTGCTCATTAATGACAAAGTGAAAGTGGTGCTTGCGCAGCTGGTAGGAAGACTTGTTGACCATAACCACGCAATCAGCACTAACATTATCAACCATGGGACTAAGAGGCCCCGAGCCCCTCACTCAATGCTCTGGGCAGGTCATTGGAGGGACAGGCATGTGTGTGTGTGTGTGTGCACACAGCATCTCTGGTGTAGAGCTCCGGCTCCCAAATAACCTGGACCTACATGGGGGAAGCAACCAGACAAATTCAAAGTGAAGGTGTCTTCTAAAATGTCAATGCTGTACAAGGCAAAAAGGGGCTGGAATGAGCAAGAGAAGTTGTGTGACAACCACACACAGTGTATGATTCTGGATAGACTCTCTTTTCAAGAAAATTCAAAGCAACGACTCTAAAAGGTATTCCTGGAACAGCTAGGCACATGTGTACAGGGGCTGCATGTTGGCATGTTAGAAAGCAGTGTTAGACAGGTGTGGTGGCTCACATCTATAATCCCAGCACTTTGGGAGGTGGGGGCAAGAGGATTGCCTGAGCCCAGGGGTTTAACCAACCTGGGCAAGTTGGCGAGACCTCATCTCTACAATAAAAATAAAAGAATTAGCCAGGCATGGTGGTGTGTGCCTATAGTTCCAGCTACTTGGAAGGCTGAGGTTGAAGGATTGCCTGAGCCCAGCAGGTTGAGGCTGTGATGGCCATGAGTGTGCCACTGCACTCTAGCCTAGATGACAGAGTGAGACTCCAACTCAAAACAAAACAAAACAAAAAAACAGCAGCGTTGAGTGGACAGGAAGTGTCCCTGATGTGTTCGCTGCTTGGTGGTTGTGTGGGAGAATGGCCTTGCTCTCGAGAGACGTACATGAATGAGTTTAGGTCTAAAGTGTCATGATGTCCATAAGGAATTTTCAAACGGGTTCAGTTGGAGAGGGACAATGAAGCAAAATGTTCATGATTTTGACATTTTTTACAGATTTTTGCCTTTTTCAGGGAGAAGGTGGTATTCATTCTAATCTCCTTGCAAATTTCCTGTTGGGTTGAAACTTTTCTAAATAAAAAGCAGCCAAGAAAAGAATAGGATTATTTCTTTCCTGTGTGCCTATAGCCACCTGGATGGTGGAACCTGGGTTGGATGGAGGTCAAGCGAACACAGCAGATCCATCAGGGAATGTCCAGGGTGGGGCATGGTCCCAGCACTGGACATGATGGTCTTCCGCTGGGCAGTGGTCACATGTGGCTGCCAGCCCTGAGCTTACAACATGCATGCTCCACTGGTCTCCCACACCTGGGACCAGCAAGTCTAACTTCCAGCCTCGATGGGAGAAGCCAGCACCTTTCTAAAAAATACATGTTGGTGTTTCACTGCAGATAGTCATGCTCAGAAGATAACCCTGGGAGAAACACTCAAACCGAAGGTGAGGGTGGTGCCCAACAGAGGACTCACTGTGAAGAAGTAGAGTTTGACATTGCTCTATGCCTCTAGCGGTCACCACAGATCGCACGGATGTATGTACCTGAGATCCTCAGGCCCGGGCCCTGTGGTTAGCACATTCATGGCACCAGGCCCCAAACAAGGCTGGAGGTGCCAGGAGACCCCATGGCTTGCACTCAGAGCTCATGGTGGGGCTGGGCCGGTCTGTCCAGCAGTATCTGTTGGCACCTTGGGCCACGTTGGGGGCCCTGGCTGTCCTGCCCATGGGTGGGGGGCCAGAAGACCTGGTGTGGCACACATGGTGCAAAGCTGGAAAGAATCTGCGTCTATACAGATGCCTTTCACTGTCCAGGACCCACTGAGGGTGAGAAGGAGGCCCACCCTCCTAGTGGAGGGGTTTATGGCCTGCCTGTGCTGATAGCATCTGCTCTTGGCACTGTCCCTGTCTCTTCCAGACTTTCCTGCGGGACATATTTGGCGAGCACCAGGATTGCAGGAAGGCCGGACATGCCCCAGGAGCCCACCCTGTGGACAGGCTCAGGGTGAAGGGATCGCCCAAGGAGTTCAGTCAGTGAAGCCACGAGGTTAGTGGCACTGAAGTTAGGGTTGTGACATAAGATGCACGGTACAATGCAACCTCAGCCCATCCTGCGGGCCAGGAGGCTGAGCTGCCCCCAAGGTCCTACCCATGCTCTTGGACACCCTGGAGTCCCACTCCCAGGGAGCCAGCCTACTCTATCCACCCACTCTCTGGAGGCCTGCGTGCCTGGAGGCCAGCTCTGAGGTTGCATTCTGCCCAGAGGGGAGGCACCTGGTAAGCGAGGGGACCTGCTGCAGACGGAGGGGATGGAGGAGAGGAGCCCTCCACCAGGGATCATAGGAGAGGCAAAGAGGACGACGGATGCGTCCAGGCAGGCTGCAGAAAAGCTGGGAGGCTACAGATGCGCCCAGGTGGGCTGCAGAGAAGCCAGGGGACTATGGACATGCCCAGGCGGGCTGCAGAGAAGCCAGAGTTAACGCCAGGCCCCACTGCCCCGCGGTCCACGGAGCGCCCGGCTGTGTACATACCTCACTGGATCACACACAGCCTTTTTGTCTTATTACCATCAGAATCAGGGGCAACCTCTGCTTTCAAATAAAACAGTTGCACTCAGAGGCTTGTCACACATGAGCACCCCTGACTCGGAATGGGGAGGGGACTGGTGGGGCTGGGCTAGCCTCGCCCATGCTCCCCAGGGCAGCAGTCACACCCCTGGGGAAGGCCCCCCAGTTCTCTGGCCGGTGAGTCAAAACACAGGCATGTGTGCCAGGTGTTCACTGGCAGCAGCAGTAGCCTTTGGCTGCGAACACCCCACCCCATGCCCTGCTGCAGGTGGCATGAAGGCAGGAACTGGTGCGTTAGCGGAGTGGCAAGGGCAGGGAACCCACAGCCACCCTCCCGTGGGAAGTGCTGATATCCCTCTCCTGCGAGAGGCACCCAGCATGGTGGCCTTCTCTCCTGGGTGCCCTTGGGAAGGGGTGGAACCAGCTGGAGGCCAGGAGTCTGGCAGGGAATGCCTGGCAGGGACGCTGTCCCCTGCCAGGGCTGGCTGGATGCCAGGGGATGTATGAGCTTACTGCATGCCCTGGCGCCCGAGCCCTGCACGACCCAGCCTCCTGGTGCACCCCCGCCAAGTTACCTTCCTGGCTCTTAGAAGGCCGCTTCTTCCTCCGCTTGCCTGTCCCCTTCGAGGCCCGACCCCGGGCCCTAGGGAGGGTGCCAGATCCCGAGGAGTCGGTCACCACATCCTCAGAGAAGGACCTGTCCAAGGACGTGTCCAGCATAGACTCTGGGGCTGTGTCCTCCTCGTCCCCATTGGGGCCTGTGGCAGAGAGGCTGGCTCCGTGGCCGCAGATAGCTGTGTCCTCTGTCCCCTGGCTTGTGCTGTCGGCCTCCGCCTGGAGAACACCCCCCGAGGATGTGGGGTCCTCGGTGTCCTGGCTTGGACTTCTGGCCCCAGAGGGATGCTCAGTGGAGAACTTGAGGGGCTTCAGAGCCTGGGCGTCTCCCAGAGTCACTGGCCAGGCCCCCTCAGAGGGCTGAGGACACCAGGTATCTTCGGTGGCTAGGACATCGCTGGCATCCTCGTACCAGGAAGAACGCCTCTCCAGGGCCTCTGCCCGCCCCCCCTCTGACTGTTCCTGGCTGGGCTGAGGGCTGGGGGTCACAACATCTGCAAGGTCCCATCCCTGAGTCTCGTGGGCCACCACAGCATGGAGGCCGGGCTCGGAGGCAGGGAAGCGGGTGACACTAGCAGAGCCTCCTGCAGGGCCACCGGTGGCCGCTGTGGATGAAGAGACATGTCAGGGAAGGGCGAGCATCTGGCCCCCTGAGCCAGCCGAGAGGGGCTCCTCCATCTCCGCATCTACATGGACATACTGCATAGCCCCTTCCCCAGAAGCCTACTCTGATCCCTTTGGGAGCCACCATCTCAGGACCTGGCCTCAGCATCCAAGGTCTGTCCACAGTGAGGGAGGGCCATGCCGTCCCAGCACCCTGAGGCAGCTGCCCAGGAGAGAGCCCCTTCTTCCACCTTGGGTGCCTTTGAGCCCAGGAGTCTGTGGCTGGGTCCTGGCTCTACCTCTCAAGCCTCCCAGGGTTGGCCTTCTGCTTCCATACCAAGGCAGGGCCCCCGGTGACAGCAGAGAAGCTCAGGCTGTGACAGGATGAGGGCTGGGCTGCGCCACCTGCCCCTCAGCCAAGCCTTGCCTTAGGTACCCCCGGGGACAGCTGGGGAGACAGGTGGCTGTCTGGGGGATCAGAGAGGGCTTCCCAGAGGAGGGCATGGGAGTGGGGACAGTGGGAAGGAAGGTGAGGAGGCAGCAGGTGAGGGTCTCACCAGGCTCTGGGACCCTCGGGGGGTCGGCTGAAGCCACCTTGTTGCCCCCTTCAGCATCGCCACGGCCCCGGGCTGTCTTCCGCAGTTGGAAGCCCTTCCTGATGTCGGCCAGCAGGGCGTCGATGACACACACCTCCTCCTGCTTCCCAGGCCCCTTCCTGACTGGAGGCCAGGGACACTCAGAGCTGTACGCAGGGACCCAAAACCCCCCCGGAAAGCTGCCAGCAATGGGGTGCTATGAGGCTTGTGAGGAGGAGAATGGCTCACACAGACATAGCAGCCCCAATGGCCTGTCCCTGCCCCACCCGGCCCCAGACCTGGCCTCACCAGGCTTCCCGTTCTCGCCCCGTGGCCGCCGTGCCTCCTCCTCCGCCAGCTGCTGCTTCCTCCTCTCTGCCTTGGCCGCCTGCTCCTTCCGGTCTTTATTCTCCTGCAAGGGCAGGCATGAGCCCCACCATCCCACCCATCCTTCACAGCCTCTGGGGGACTGTGTATCTGCTCCCAGGGCTACAGCAGAGTGGGGTGAGTGGACACGGGTGGCCAACAGTGTGGCATCCACCCCACGAGGTGGTGTCCATCCTACCTGGCTATATCCTGCACCCACCCCATGCTTCTCGGAAGAAGAGTGTCCCTGCCTACCCTGCTCCTGGAAGACCAGTGGCCGTGGGCCCCACTGGGCTCTGATTACCTGAGCCCCCCCCCGGGGCCAGTTCCTACCTTCAAGGCGCGGACAAAGAGGTCTCGGAAGGTCTTCATGGTGCTGAACGTGTCCTCCAGGGAGAGCTGCTGAGCATCCTCGCAAAGGTAGTCGGCCAGCTCCCGCCGCTTCTGCTCGATGGCCTCAAACAGCGCATCCAGCTCCCGGGAGGCTGTGATGCCAACCTGAGGACACGGGCACGGTCATGGCCCTGTGAGGGGCCTCGTGGCAGGCAGAGCCTGGTCACGTGACTTGGGAAACAGCTGAGGCCTGGAGGCCCAAGGGTGGGGTGAGGCCCATGGCCAGGGAAGGGTGGTGGCTGCAGGGTGGGTTCTGAGGGCAGGGGTCTCTGCCAAGAGCAGGTCTCTGCCAAGAACATGACCATGCACACCTGAGCACCTCAGCCCCCAGGATCCACCCTGAGACCAGGCCCTCCTGGGGGCTCCCCTGCCTGGGCTCACACGACCCATAGGATCCGGGCAGCGGTGCTCACCTCCCTGGAGGGCCCCTGGGCAGCCTCTCCCCCAGCCCAGCTCCGTGCCGCTTGCCTGGAGGCGTCCTGAGTACTGCTCCTGCACCTCGGGCACCGAAGCAGACACTTTCCGCTCTGTCTCCAGAAGACTCTTCAGGTTGGAGCTGGCTTCCGAGCGGATGATCTCCAGGTTGATCCTGAAAGGCACCAAGAGCCCAGTGGGGACAGGCAACAGCTGACATCCAGGCTCACTGGGACAGTAGGCCCCTCCCCTCTCCCTGGACAGTGGTGCCCCTCCCCTCTCACACCTGGGACACTGGGCCCTCCCACCCTTGGGACGCTGACTCCTGCCCCCTCTAAAGCCCAGGAACAGGGCATCCCTCCTCTCCCTACCATGGGACAGTCGGCCCTCCTTCACCCTCTGGGACAGTGGGGCGCCCTCTCTCCTTTCCACCTACCTCCTCCTACAGCAGGCCCCTCTCCCCTCTCCTCCCTGGGACAGTGAAGCCTCTGCTCATCCTCCCCACAGTGGGGTCCCTCCCCTCTTACCCCTAAAGTTGGGCCTCCCCGCTCTCCCCCCGACAGTGGACCCTCCTCTCTCCTCCCCCCCACCTCACTCTGCACACTGCTGGCTGTACCTGGGGCCTGCCATGCAGTAGGGGCTGAGGGCTGGGTCTAGCAGACCTCGGTCCTCCCTGAGTGAGGTGAGTGAGGGTCAGTGACCCTGATGATCGTCCCGTCCTGCTGGGTTGACCCTCCCTGAGGCCCGGCAGCTCCCAGACCAGAAAGCCTCCCGGGGCAGGTGGAGCCAGGGAGAGGCGTGTGCTGGGGCTGTGAACCCCAGGACTGGCAGACCAGGCTGCCCTCCCATCTGGGTGGTATGCCCGTGGGTGAGGGTACAACACAGCTCCCCTGGGCTTCAGTCTCGTGTATATGATGGGGGTGGCACGACCTGGCTCATAGCTGCAATCAAGGTCTCTGTGAAGAGGCTGTGCTAGGTCAGCTCCCAGAGTGACCTTGTCAATCCCTGCCCCCACCAGGCCTTGATTTCCCTGCCTAAATCACCCGGGGACAGGCTACAGCAGACAGGGTCTGTCCGGAGTGAAAGCCAGTGTTCTGTTGGACAGCGGATCCTGAGGTGCTGGGGTTGCACTGTGGTGAGGACTTAGCCCTGGCCAGCCACCTCATGGGCGGGGACAGAGTTGGGGCCCTGACCCTGCTGAGCTCCTACCCTGCCGCTTGGGAGGGCTGCTCCAGGTCCTGGGGCAGGTGAAGGAGGTCCGGGTGAGTTTTTTCCACTTCCTGCAACAGGACACATCCAGTGAGGACACCCGGGACCTGGGGATGCCCCCAACCCTGGCTCTGACCTTAGCAATTACAGTCCAGAAAATTGGTGGCACTTGGGGCCTTGGAGTCCCTCCCTGGGGCCTGGCTATAGCCTGCTCTTCTGAGGGACTGCCCCAACCCAGATGGGGGCGGGGATGTCCTAGGGAGAAATTGGTGTTCAGGGGAGCAAGTACTCCTGGAGGGAGGGGCGGGCTCAGCTGGGTCCACAGGGGTAAGGAAAGGGGCATGGCCTCCTGAGGGCAGAGGGAGAATTCCAAGCCCCAAATGGCGTTCCTGACAGAACCCCCACGTGTGAGCTCTGCTCACGGCCCACCTCCAGCACATGGTGCAGCAGTGTCACCCGGTTCTGCTGGGACTTGGTCTCCGTGAGCTTCAGCAGTGTGCTGATCTTGAAGCCATCGGCGTCGCCCGTGTGGCTGCCCTGGAGGAATGGGAGTGAGTCTCCCTGTTGCCGGGGTGGGGCTGGGCAGGCTGCCGGGCAGCACAGGGCAGGCTGGGTGCAGCCTCTGACTTACGTAGTTGAGAAAGTTCCCGATTTTCAGGATCAGCTGGCAGAAGACAGGCAGCTGGTGGCTGGTGAGTAGGCCTGCGGGAGCAGCTGGGCTGGGAAGTGGGTCTGGCAAGGTTGGGTCCCCCAGGCAAGACGGGGGCAGGGCAGCGCTCCAAGTGCCCCCTCCCCTGGCCCCATCTCTCCCGCATGCACCCCCCAGCCCCGTCCCTCCTGCACATACCACCCTCACTTTGCTTCTCCCACACCCCTCCCTCCTGCTTGTGCCCCCCCGGCCCCGCCCATCCTGCATATGCACCCCTGCCCCCCGCCACGCCTCTCCGCCCGGTAGTCCCCTGCCCTACTCACTCTCACAGGCGGCGAGCACCAGCTGGGCCTTGGGCCGCACCATGTCCAGCACCACGGCAGTACCCTCGCATAGCAGCATGCATTCCACCCGCAGCTGGTAGCTGGGACGGCAGGGGGAGGTCAGGGGCTGGCTGAGCACCAGGCCTGGCTCTGGCGTGAGCACAGGGTGGAGGTTCTCCAGGCTGCCCCGTTCACCACGCCCCCTCCCAGGCCTGCCCAGAGGAGAGCTCATCCCCTCGAGGGCCCCAGGCCTCACTCTGCGAAGGGTGGGTGATGTTTGGAACACAGACTGCTGAGATATCCCCCTCTCCCCCGGCAGCCCAGGAGCCTTCTGCACACCTCACCCCGCTCTGGGTTGGGGCCCTGTCCTAGCTTCAGAGGTAACACGTGCTCACCAGGGAATATCCAGCAAGAGTAGGTAGAACTGGTCGGCGCTGGCCAGCTTGGCTCGCTCCTCTGTGAATGCCCGCAGGTTTTCAATCTGCCGGTAGAAGGTTCGCATGTGGGGTCCTGCTTGCCAGCTCGTGCCCTCCCCCAGGATGCCCTCTTGGACTGCTGGTGGCCTCCCCTTGCGGCTCAGGAAGGGAGGGAGTTGGGATCCTGGGAGCCCTCAGGGACAGCCCCGAATCCCCGTCTTTGTGGATCAGGAGGGGTCTGGCTCACCTCATGCTTCTCGGGAAGGAGCTTGAGCAGTTGTTTGAGAACCTCCACATCAAACTTGGTGGTGTCCCCAGCCCGGATCATGGTGGTGACCTCCTCGTTGGAACTGGAGGGGATGAGGAGGGGAAGCGCAAATGGCCCTCTGGCCTCCTGAGGACCTAGTCAGGCAAGGTCTCCTCGCACACCCATGAGGCTGCCGGCAGGGCGGGTGGAGCATGGAGCCACACGGGAAGAGAGGCTGAGGCTGAACACCACACTCTGTCAGCCAGACCACCCTCTGCCTCCCCCTCCCAGGCTGCTCAGGAGACGGGGTGGGGAGGGATGGCTCGGGGGCTCCCAGGGAGTGCTGGGACCTCCCCACTGTTCATCTGTGGCCTTGGGGGGAGGTCCCAGCACTCCCTGGGAGCCTGGAATGGGTGGTCTCAGGAGGGCCCCAGCTAGTGTGGCCTGTCGGGATCACCCAGATCACCAGATCACCATGGAGCGTGCCCTTCCCGTGGAAGCCAGCAGAGGGCACTGCCAAGCCCAGGTGGGAGGCTGGGGAAGGCAGCGGCTCCACAGGGCATGTTCCGTGCATGTTCTTTCTTTCTGTATGTGTGTGTGTCCCTGCCTGTTTGTGGCGCTGACCCTGGGACTGGAGCCCCCTCACTCACCATTTAAACTGCTTCAGGAAGATGTTGAGGTTCAGGCTCTTCTTGGAGTCAAGGAAGGTTATCTGGAAAACACCCCAGCATGCTGGTACTCATGGCAGTGGCAGGTGACCCCGCGCCACACCCGGTGCCCATTCCCACCTCCTTGGGCTCCTTCCTGGCTGGAGCAGCGGCAACAGGTTCCTTGGGCCTGACAGCAGGGAAAGAGAAGAGCCGCTCGATGCTGGAGAAGTCGGGCTCCACCACCTCGGTGCCAGGACTGCCCAGCGAGGCCCACATGGAGCTGCCCTCTGTAGGGGGGGGCACCGCCAGTCAGACTCACGCTCCCAGGGCCTGGGGGCCTAGCAGGCAGGGCGCCTTGCTTGTGGCCCAGCTGGTTTCAGCATACACAAGCACTTAATAAGCACATGGCAGAGGGAGGCCCCAAGCTGCGGTCAAGCTGTGTGCATGCACGTGGACAAACACACGATGTGTCTTCACTGGTGGGTGACTGGTTTCAGTCTCCTCTGGTCATCTGAGATGCATGCTTACCGTGCGGTGCATGTGGGAGGGGTTGCTCAGAAGAGCCCTGACCTAATCCTCCCCTGCCCCTATACCAACTGCACAGGTGCTGAGCCCAGAGTAGGGCGGGTTTCCCTGGGCAGACCACAAACACGCAGGGACACACAGGACAGAACATGTACAGCAGGCTACACGTGGGCAGGCCACACAGGGCAGGTCACCCATGGGCAGAGATACACACAGAACACACAGAGCAAGCCACACACAGGCAGGCCACAAACAGGCAAAGACACACAGAGATAGAACATACACAGGCCAGCGTAGTGGCTTACACCTGTAATCCCAGCACTTTGGGAGATAGAGGCAAGAGGATTGCCTGTGCCCAGGGGTTCGAGACCAGCCTGGGCAACATGGTGAGTCCTTATCTCTATAATAAATGTAAAAAATTAGCTGGGCATGATGGCACATGCCTGTAGTTCCAGTTGCTTGGAAGGCTGAAGTGGAAGGATCGCCTGAACCCAGCAGGTCGAGGATACGGTAGCTGTGAGCGAGCCACTACACTGCAGCCTGGGCTACAGAGTGAGACTCCAACTCAAAAAAAAAAGAAAATACACAGTAGGCCACAAACAAGTAAGTCACACGTGGGGAGGCCACAAACAGGCAGGGACACACAGACAGAACACGCACAGCAGATCACATACGAGTAGGACACACAAGAGGACACACGTTACAGGTACCACCCATCCCTCTCCCCAGTACAGCCCAGACCCATCATCAGAGGGACACGCCCCTCGGGGCCTGAGGCCCTCACCGCGTGCCACGTTGGAAGGCAGCTTCTGCCAGTTCAGCTTCTTCATGCGCACTGTGGGTGGGTTCACCCGCCGGTGGCTGGGGACCCAGACCGAGCCCAGGCTGTGGTCCACTCGGGCCACAATGACCTCCTCCACGCCATCCACCGTTGGGGCCCCAGAGGTGCCGGGTAGGGGTGGAGGTGGAGGGGGCCCCCAGCCCACTCCAGGCAGTGGGGGTGGTGGTGGGCATCCTCCTCCTGGGAGGGGTGGAGGT